GTTTTGTTTTTTGATACGGAGTCTCACTGTCACCTAGGATGTAGTATAGTGGCATGATCTTGGCTCACTGCAACCTCCACCTCCCAGGTTCACACGATTCTCCTGCCTCAGACTCCCAAGTAGCTGAGACTACAGGCGTGCACCACCACGCTCAGCTAATTTTTAGTAGAGATGAGGTTTCACCATATTGACTAGGCTGGTCTTGAACAAGGTGGACCTTGTGATTCACCTGCCTCAGCCTCCCAAAGTGCTGGGATTACAGGCCACACCCAGATGAGATCTGCCACACCCAGATGAGATTTGTTTTTCTCTTTAATGCTTTCAGTGTCTGTTTCAGAAGCCTTATTATTATCCCATGGTGTGTGAATGAGGTGGGCTGTCACAGTGAGAACATTTGGAGCTATCTCTTTCTGAACTCATGCTGGAAATTCAGCAGTATTTTTTCCATGTCACCATTATAAGTAGAAACTGAGGCTGAAACACTGCTTTCACCTCCATTACTGTGAAGGTGCAATTCTACCCACAAGGCCTGCAGGCTGTCCTCCTGTAGCTCAGGCTTTACTCTCTGATGTGACACTAGAGTGACATCAAATGTGAGCTGTGCTCTGAGGGGTGCCTCAGTGGCAGATGGTAGAGGTCAGGAGAGGACACCAGCAACCAGGAGAAAGCAAGCAGGAGCACTGTAGCCCAGGGCCAGGGAGTAAAGAGCCACTGCTCTAAAATGTAAATCGCCAGAAAGATAGAACCCTGTTCAGCCGTTTTTGTAGCAGAGTGAAAGCCTACCTTCCTCAGGCATCTGGCTTCAGGCTGCTAAACCATCTCCTGTTATGAAGATGTGAAAGGTTTGTCATTAAATATAAGGAATTAGCATACACAGATGGCCTCTTCATTCTCCAGGTGAATTTAGGATGGACTATGTATGACCTGGTGCTATAAATTCTTCTACTTGTGAATTGATTATGGTGACCATCATACTATGTGTGTAATCTCTTAAGCAGATTGACTATGGTGCATGTCACATTCAGGTTTATTTGTGTAATAAAAACATTTTCTTTCTGTTATTATGGAGTTTTTCTGGGGCTGGAGAAAATGTTTCCTTTGATTACCAGAGATGATATAAACACATAAGGTGCCAACCAGAATTTACTGAAAGTGGACTTCCCCCTCAGGCTTCCAGTCAACTCACACTTGTGCAGCACAGTGCACGCTGTCCTCTAAATACTCAGGCAGAATTGTGTCTCTGCCTATTTGGTGTCTAGTCCTCTACAGTCACTTCTAGAGACAGAAGACCAAATTTCTATAAACTTCACCGTGCAGCAGTTGTTTTACCTCTTTCTTTCTTTTTTTATTTTGAGACGGAGTTTTGCTCTTGTTACCCAGGCTGGAGTGCAATGGCGCGATCTCGGCTCACCGCAACCTCCGCCTTCTGGGTTCAGGCAATTCTCCTGCCTCAGCCTCCTGAGTAGCTGGGATTACAGGCACGTGCCACCATGCCCAGCTAATGTTTTGTATTTTTAGTAGAGACGGGGTTTCACTATGTTGACCAGGATGGTCTCGATCTCTTGACCTTGTGATCCACCTGCCTCAGCCTCCCAAAGTGATGGGATTACAGGCGTGAGCCACCGCGCCCGGCCTCTGTTTTACCTCTTTCAATGACTCTTGTATGTTGAGACCTGAAACTGATTCAGAGACCATGCAGCCCAGAAACCCAATCACAGTAACACGTGTGCACTGAGCAGTCATCTAGACATGAGAATCTCTACTTTCCCTTTCCTCCTCTTGCTAAAATGCTCACAGTTATGTATGTAATACCTGCTGCTACTATAACCATTCAGGCCTTAAATCTGCAGCTTCGGCCGGGCGCGGTGGCTCAAGCCTGTAATCCCAGCACTTTGGGAGGCCGAGGCGGGTGGATCACAAGGTCGAGAGATCGAGACCAACCTGGTCAACATGGTGAAACCCCGTCTCTACTAAAAATACAAAAAATTAGCTGGGCATGGTGGCGCGTGCCTATAATCCCAGCTACTCAGGAGGCTGAGGCAGGAGAATTGCCTGAACCCAGGAGGTGGAGGTTGCGGTGAGCCGAGATCGCGCCATTGCACTCCAGCCTGGGTAACAGGAGCGAAACTCCGTCTCAAAAAAAAAAAAAAAAAAAAAATCTGCAGCTTCAAATTTTGAATCCAGGTCTTGAGATTTGGAAAATAAATAAACTTTTATCTGAGAAATGCAAGTCCTTTTGGTTATCAAACTCAGAGATATTAAAATGAAAGGTCAGTTATGTCTTACTTCCCTTTTTGAACTAGGTATTTATCTCCTGAAACTGTTCACTATTGCCCCAAGTAGATATAAATTAAACTAATTATGCCACATTGGACACTATATCTCATACCATAACCATAATGATATATATACGATATATATCTAATCAATAATCTGTTAGTTCTGTAAATAAATAAAACTTTCTGACAAATAACTTTGTATCAACCCACTCTCTGTTCCTCTTGTTGTCTTTACAAATCTTGTAACCGCTGTGAATCAGATTGTAGATTCCAGGCAATTTGAATCATATTACAGAAAGTGGGGCCAAAATTACCAAGTAATTTATAATCTCATGAAAGCTTGAGAGGCAATGCTCAGCTTAGTGGTTATCAGCCCAGGCTTCTCATTAGGATCACATGGCCAATTTGCAGAAATCTCTTGTGTCCTCCCCATAGCTTCTATTTATTATTCTGGGTGGAAGCATCCATGTTGTTTTAATGAAGCGCGTCATGTGACTCTAAGGTGAGGCCACAATCAGGTATGAGGGCTTCAAGATACATTCGTGAGAGTTAAGTTCCACCTTTGCACTAAAGGATGGTCACAGGGCCTGCTGTGTTTGGGTTTCATAGGGACAGGTCAGTGTGGAGCATTTTCCCATTACTGTAGCAGAAATTGCCAGTGTCTGTGGCAGGGGAGGGCACCTGAGGACAGGAAAGAAGAAACTTTTATTTCTATCTTCATGGAGAAGCACATTGTTCCTGAATCTCTTCTGCTTATAGGACAGGAATGGGTGGACTTTTTTTTTTTTTTTTCTGACTGTTGATATCATGTTAGCAGATAAACATGTGATACTGATACTTTTAAAGAGAGATTCTCAAGATGCAGTTGTAATTTGTCCAGAGAATCTCATCTGAAAAGAAATTCCAAAGAAGGAGGAGAAAGGAAAAAAAAATTGCTTTTCTTCTGGTAAACATGTCTCAGGTGAAGAGCTGTGTTCACTCTGCCTCCTGGACTGCCATGCATTTAGTACTTCCAAACCTTTACTGCTCTACTTGTGTTTTTCCTCCCTAATGAGTTTGGTTCAACTACTTTTTTTTTTTTTTTTTTTTTAAGATTGGGTTTTCCCATGTTGGTCAGGCTGGTCTTGAACTCCCGACCTCAGGTGATCCGCCTGCCTTGGCCTCCAAAGTGCTTAGATTACAGGCATGACCCACCACACCCGGCCTCAACTACTTTGAAAAATTCGTATGATAGTCAAGGGTCTCTGAAAAATATTTCTTTCCTATTTTCCAGAGCCTCCTCTACCTTGTCTGTCATAGCTTCTTATGTGCAATGCAGACTTCTCATTAAGAATTTATGATTTATAATGTTAAAAATGCTCCTTTCGTGGAAGTTGAACATGGAAAGATATGGATAGTCAAGATGCCTATTTGGGAAAACTGTTGTCCTTAGTAAAGATGGAGAACATGTAATGTTGAGGCTCCATTTGTGTGTTCCATTAGCTCTATGCAGAGCAGAATAAGAAACTGCTTATTTAAATAAAATGGCATTTATTACCCAGAAAGTTCTGAAAAAAATTATTAGGAGATACATGCTTTCTAGGGTGCTAAATGAAGCCTACTTAAAATTACTACTAAAGACCTGGTACGGTGGCCCACACCTGTAATCCCAACACTTTGAGAGGCCAAGGCAGGCAGATCACCTGAGTTCTGGAGTTGGAAACCAGCCTGACCAACATAAAGAAACCTTGTCTCTACTTAAAAAAAAAAAAAAAAAATTAGGCCAGTTGTGGTGGCTCAAGCCTGTAATTCCAGCACTTTGGGAAGCTGAGGCGGGTGAATCGCCTGAGGTCAAGAGTTTGAGACAAGCCTAACCAACATCAAGAAACCCCGTCTCTACTAACGTTACAAAATTAGCCGGGCTTCGTGGTGCATGCCTGTAATCCCAACTATGTGGGAGATTGAGGCAGGAGAATTGCTTGAAACTGGGAGGTGGAGGTTGCAGTGAGCCAAAATAGCACCACTGCACTCTAGCCTGGGTAAGGAGTGAAACTCTGTGTCAAAAAAAAAAAAAAAAAAAAAGTGAGAGGTGCCTTTCTAACTCAACTTGTCTCTTCTGTCTGAAAAATAGTCACAGCTCATTTCATATGATGTAAATATAGCACTCAAAAATGTACATGTTCATGTTCATGTCCTTAAATTTAGACTTTATTATCTAGAAAAATATCATATTTGAATTCATGCTATAGATCTTACACTGCTCTTTTTTTCTCAGAGAAAGCATTAGAGAATATTTATGTGTTGAAAATTACTTTATTGGATAATTTTAGTTCAGTAAGTCAGAACCAGTTCTCTTTACTCACTAATTTCACCTTAAGTCAAATTAAAAATTCTGCTCGGCCGGGCACGGTGGCTCAAGCCTGTAATCCCAGCACTTTGGGAGGCCGAGGCGGGTGGATCACAAGGTCAAGGGATCGAGACCAACCTGGTCAACATGGTGAAACCCCGTCTCTACTAAAAATACAAAAAATTAGCTGGGCATGGTGGCGCCTGCCTATAATCCCAGCTACTCAGGAGGCTGAGGCAGGAGAATTGCCTGAACCCAGGAGGCGGAGGTTGCGGTGAGCCGAGATCGTGCCATTGCACTCCAGCCTGGGTAACAAGAGCGAAACTCCGTCTCAAAAAAAAAAAAAAAAAATTCTGCTCATGGTCACTTGGTAAAAATCTGTGTATGTTTTTCAGGGACCATTGCAATTTAGAGATGTGGCCATAGAATTCTCTCTGGAGGAGTGGCATTGCCTGGACACTGCACAGCGGAATTTGTATACAGATGTGATGTTAGAGAACTACAGAAACCTGGTCTTCCTTGGTGAGGATAACTTGAATACATAATTTATAATATACCCTAAAGGTTTTATTTCTCTCTCTTTTTTTTGTTTTTGAAAATGTATTTTGGTAATTTATTCTTTGCATAAAAGAATTTTAGATTCCCTTTTTCTAGAAAATCTGTAGAATTTGTTCATTTAGAAAAGAATTTTTTCAAGGTGTTTTCATCTTAATCCAAACTTTCCACATTCCCGAGATGAGCTGTATTCTTCACTCTAAATGAGTGGTAATTCCAGAAATTTAGTGGCATAAAACACTGTTGCCCCAACCTAAAAATCTAATTGCCACCACCAACTTTTGATTCAGTAGTACCAGGTAGTAAAGTTAAGAAACCTACAAATTGAAAGTATTTTCTGAATATTAGAAATTTTTGTTATAAATTAGCATTTTGGTATTAACTTACTATATTATTTTATCACATCCTCTCTGCTGAGCTCATTACTAGCTTGCAATTGGAGAATATGAGCAAGATTCATGTTATTTATTTTTAATAAAACAGGTATTGTTGTCTCTAAGCCAGACCTGATCACTTGTCTGGAGCAAGGAAAAAAACTTTTGACTATGAAGAAACATGAGATGATTGCCAACCCCCCAGGTAGGTGTGAATAAAAATGAACACAACAGATGACACAGATAAGAGGTCCCAAGGTCAAAGAGAAATTCAGTCCTTAAAATGTGATTGGGGAAGCTGTGTTCCAAAGGAAATAGTTTTTGGGCAGCTGTTTTGTTTATTTGTTTTAAATTTGTTCTCACAAAGGGACATCTTCTGTCTTATGCTTTTTAAATTTTTTTTGTTTTTGTTTTTGTTTTTTTTTGAGATGGAGTTTCGCTCTTGTTACCCAGGCTGGAGTGCAATGGCGCGATCTCGGCTCACCGCAACCTCCGCCTCCTGGGCTCAGGCAATTCTCCTGCCTCAGCCTCCTGAGTAGCTGGGATTACAGGCACGCGCCACCATGCCCAGCTAATTTTTGTATTTTTAGTAGAGAGGGGATTTCACCATGTTGACCAGGTTGGTCTCGATCTCTTGACCTCGTGATCCACCCGCCTCGGTCTCCGAAAGTGCTGGGATTACAGGCTTGAGCCACCGCGCCCGGCCTCTTTTTTTTTTTTTTTTGAGACGGAGTTTCACTCTTGTTACCCAGGCTGGAGTGCAATGGCACGATCTCGGCTCACTGCAACCTCCGCCTCCTGGGTTCAAGCAATTCTCCTGCCTCAGCCTCCTGAGTAGCTGGGATTACAGGCACACACCACCATGCCCAGCTAATTTTTTGTATTTTTAGTAGAGACAGGGTTTCACCATGTTGACCAGAATGGTCTCGATTTCTTGACCTTGTGATCCACCCGCCTCGGCCTCCCAAAGTGCTGGGATTACAGGCTTGAGCCACCGCGCCAGGCTTTCATTTTTAAAAAAATATTGTGAATATGTTTTTTCTCCTCGGTTAATTTTTTTCTCTCAAAAATATGTTATTTAATGTTACAGTAAATAAGTTTTTTTCTTCCTTTATTTTTTTCTGTTTTTTTTTTTTTAAATTTTTTATTGTACTTTAGGTTCTGGGGTACATGTGCAGATCATGGAGGATTGTTGCATAGGTACATACATGGCAAGGTGGTTTGCTGTCTCCATCCCCTCGTCACTTATATCTGGCATTTCTCCCGATGATTTCCCTTCCCATCCCCTGCTGCCCCTTCCCTAGACACCCCCCAACAGACCCCAGTGTGTGATGCTCCCCTCCCTGTGTCGATGTGGTCTCATTGTTCAACACCCACCTATGAGTGAGAACATGTGGTGTTTGATTTTCTGTTCTTGTGTCAGTTTGCTGAGAATGATGGTTTCCAGATTCATCCATGTCCCGACAGAGGACACAAACTCATCGTCTTTTATGGCTGCATAGTATTCCATGATGTATATGTGCCACATTTTCCTTGTCTGTCTGTCATTGATGAGCATTTGGGTTGGTTCCAGGTCTTTTCTATTGTAAACAGTGCCACAGTGGCCGGGCGCGGTGGCTCACGCCTGTAATCCCAGCGCTTTGGGAGGCCGAGGCGGGTGGATAACGAGGTCAAGAGATCGAGACCATCCTGTTCAACATGGTGAAACCCCGTCTCTACTAAAAATACGAAAATTAGCTGGGCATGGTGGTGCGTGCCTGTAGTCCCAGCTACTCAGAAGGCTGAGGCAGGAGAATTGCTTGAACCCAGGAGATAGAGGTCGCGGTGAGCCGAGATCGCGCCATTGCACTCCAGCCTGGGTAACAAGAGCGAAACTCCGTCTCACAAAAAAAAAACACAAAAAACAAAAAACAAAAATTAGCTAGGCATGGTAGCACATGCCTGTAATTACAGCTACTTGGGAGGCTGAGGCACAAAAATTGCTTGAAACCAGGAAGTGGAGGTTGCAGTAAGCCACGTTCACACCACCGCACTCCAGCCTGGGTGACAGAGCATGACTCCGTCTCAGAAAAAAAAAATTGTCGATCACCAGAGGTCAGGAGTTCAAGACTATCCTGATCAACATGGAGAAACCCTGTCTCTACTAAAAATACAAAATTCGCCAGACATGATGACACATGCCTGTAACCCTAGCTACTCGGGAGGCTGAGGCAGGAGAATCGCTTGAACCCAGGAGGCAGAGGTTGCGTTAAGCCAAGATCACACCATTGCACTCCAGCCTGACCAAGAAGAGCAAAACTGTCTTAAAAAAAAAAAAAATTGTCTAGGTAACTGCAATATTTTTAACTGTTACTGCATACTTGTCAAATGCATGTATTCTGAATCATTTTCATGCACTGTGTGGCAGTAAGATTTCAGGGAATATACAGTATAGTTATAAATAGAAGATTCTAATGAGAAACATTTAATAAATAAGCATTTAAAAGAAACTAGAGTTACTTTTGATGTTTTAAATATATGCTATTCTTATACAATATGAAACTGCTGTAATTTAACTTTAGAAGCACAGAGTAGCCTTACATTGTTAAATATAAGCATACATTGTTGTCCGGGGGCGTGGTGGCTCACACCTGTAATCCAAGCACTTTGGAGGCCAAGGCAGGCGGATCACCTGAGGTCAGGACTTCAAGACCAGCCTGACCAACATGGTGAAACCTGTCTTATTTCTTTTAAAAATAAATAAATGTATATATATATAAATAAATAAAAATTAAAAAGTATACATTGCTAAATATAAGTATATACACACACACACACACACAAATATATATGTATTTTTTACAGAATAAAATTTGACCCTCTGATATGTAAAACAAATGTATTTCCTATTATTTAGACATAGGCTGAAGAAAGTAGATAAAAATTCTATAATACTTTTTTGCCTGCAGCAAAGTTTAATTTATAAGTAACTATTTTAGTAAATATGGAGTGTCTACTAATTATCTCATTTTCTTCAGGCATACCATGCAAATTCTAGCATATTTTTCTAAATACCTGAATCTAAAATTACAGACAAATTTGAAATAGAAAATAGAAAGTAAAAATGTCTGAGGACAGTGAAATCAGTAAGATAAAAAGGTTAAAAGTACCCTATTTTCTTTTTTGTTGTTGTTGCTGTTTTTTTTTTTTTTTTTTTTGAGACGGAGTTTTGCTCTTGTTACCCAGGCTGGAGTGCAATGGCGCGATCTCGGCTCACCACAACCTCCGCCTCCTGGGTTCAGGCATTTCTCCTGCCTCAGCCTCCTGAGTAACTGGGATTACAGGCACGTGCCACCATGCCCAGCTAATTTTTTGTATTTTTAATATAGACGGGGTTTCACCATGTTGACCAGGATGGTCTCGATCTCTTGACCTCGTGATCCACCCGCCTCGGCCTCCCAAAGTGCTGGGATTACAGGTTTGAGCCACCGCGCCCGGCCTTTTTTTGTTTTTGAGATGGAGTCTTGCTCTGTCACCCAGGCTGGAGTGCAGTGGCATGATCTCTACTCACTGCAACCTCTGCCTCCCAGGATCAAGCTGTTCTCCTGCCTCAGCCTCATGAGCCGCCTGCCTTGGCCTCCCAATGTGCTAGGATTACAGGTGTGAGCCACCATGTCTGGCTAATGGTAGGTTTCTTAACATCAGTTTATTGTGGCTTTTGGTTTTACTTATGTATTATAATTTTAGACAATTCACAATTCCATTTGTACACTTTACATCAGTTTAAGGTTTAATTAAGAGATGTGTTTTCCATGTCTATCATAATCAGATTGCATATTTATGTGTTTATCTATAAATATGACCCCAATTTTAATTATGGCTTATCTTATATTCTTTCTTAGCTGATTTTCAATGGTAGTTTTATCTTGTCTAAGTAAGTAGTCAAGGGGATAGTCTTATTTTTACCACGTGTTTAATGATGAATATATATTTCCTTTTGTGAGAGAAATACTTTTGTCATTTGGAGGTAATTTTCAAAAAGATTTATAATTCTTTAAAATTATAAATTTAAAAAATTTTTCAGTTTTTCTTTAAAAAATTGTTTTAATAACACCTAATATAAGTTTTTCCATCTTAAATCTATCAAAGGATACATTTCAGGGCTTGGCATGGTTGTGGCTCTCATCTCTAATCCCAGGATTTTGGGAGGCCAAGACAGGAAGATCCCAGGAGGCCAAAAGTTGAAAACAGCCTGAGCAACATATGGAGACCCCTGTCTATTAAAAAATAATAATAATAATAATAGCCAGGCATGGTGGTGTGTACCTGTGGTCTCAGCTACTTGGGAGATTGAGGGGGAGTCACAATTGTGCCACTACATTCCAGCTTGGGTGACAGAGTGAGATCGTGTCTCAAAAAAAAAAAAAACCTGTTCATTTCAAGCACGTTAAATGTTTTTACATTGTTATGCAAAAGACTTCTAGAAATTTCACATCTTGTAAAACTAAAACTCAATATTCATTAAATAGCGACTGCTCATTTTACCCTCTCTCTGTTGTACCACAGCGAACACAGAAAATCATCACCAAGACAAAAGTATGCCAAATTGCAGGGTCTTTATTGCCGGCTGCCACGGAGGACTCATGTCTCTCCAACCCATGGCCCTGAGCTCAGGAAAAGCAGGGTTTTTAAGCCGAAAAACCACATCCTGGTTTTAGGACCAAGAGGGTGAAGGGATGCAGGGCAAGCAACTTTACAGAAGTTATTTCTGGCAGTTTCTGATAAGCAAAGGCAAGCAGCTTTACACAGTGGGCTTCCTGGAATTTGGGGAAATTCTAAGTGGTCCCTGGTGAAGAACTACAAGTCAAACATTACAATAAAAATTTTTTCATCTCTTTCTTTTCAGTCATCATTTTTCAGAGCAAGCTAGTTGTTTTTATATACAGAAGCCAAGGTCAGCAGTTATCGCAAGGAAAACAGGGCAGCAAGCAGTCATCACAAAGGAAATGGGGCAGCAGTTACAACTTATTTTTGGAAAAACCATTTTTCTTGGTGCTTGCAGGGTACAGGGTTTAAGATGGCATTGCCTAGGTTCTAACTGTGGGTTAGCTATGATGCACTCCAGCCCTTGACAAACCTACTTTTCTGTTTTTATAATTTTGACTACTACAGATATCTCACATAATGGAATTATATAGTATTTATAATTCTGTTATTGGATTCAGG